GGTTGACTCAGCCTTCCATCCTTCCGAGGTGGGTAAAATGAGGACCCAGATTGTTGTTGGAGGCAATATGCTGACTCTGTGAACCACTTAGAGAGGACTGAAAGCCCTATGAAGCGGTATATAAGTCTAACTGCTATTGCTATTGCTATTCCCTATAGGATTTAACACTTAAAAAGCTCTCATCTGGATTTTTTCTTTTTAAATTTTCAATGGAATTTTTCCTTTTTTTTCTTCACACCTTCATTGACAAAAATATCATTTTAATGTTCTTTGTGGCCATTTTGTTACAGTGCATTTTCCCCTTCTGTCTTTGAAAGGAATTGTGGGGTTTTTTTTGTTGTCGATGTAAGTTTAGATACAAATAATGCACCAAGTTAAAGATAAAGCCTGGTGGGCTACCTTCACAGGAAAAAAAAACCACCCTTTTTTAGTTTACAAGTTCAAATTGACAACTTTGGTAAAAGGCTTGATAAAATTCCATGGGTTTCAAAACAACCCTAAAGAGAATACCCAGATGCAAACCAAGCATCTCACAGCCAAGCTAGACTTACAACCGAATGGACTGCAGTCTAAATCCATGCTGGAAGATTTGAAGGAGAAGTTTGGCTGGAAAACATAGGACCTGCTGCAGAAATTTGAAGGTGATCTGGATTTTACAAACTTAATGTAATTAGCAGATTCGATGAGTGACTCTCTTAAGAAGATGGACTTATATGCAATTGATAAAAGAATTTGGACTGCCTTTTCCTGAGAAAATGGATTGATGTGAAAAATGGATTGATTACACCTAAACAGAGAACAACTGACAAGAGACTTTACACTTTGGTTCACAGTGAGACTGCTTCAACAATGGATGTGGTCAAAATATTGATAGCATGTACATATTTATATACAAATATGTTGTATATTTATGTATTCAATTGGAAAATGAGACATTGTTGGCAAAGCTTCCACTAAAACTCTTAAGGGAAAGTTGTTGTTGTTGTTGTTGTTGTTNACTCTGATTTAATTCTGCATGATATTTGGAACGCTGACATGCAAATTTAAAACTGGAATAGTGCTATATAACTTACTTAACCGGTATTTTATAAAGTATTGTTATTGTAACTTTATTTATTTATTTATTTATTTATCTATTTATCTATTACATTTGTATTCTGCTTATCTCTCAACTCTAGGCAGCTTGGTTTACAGTACAATATAATGTAAAGTATACGGGTTCTTTGGGGAAATAGTACCGAAAAAAAAAGAATGGTGCTAATTTTCCTAGCTTTGCTTGTTTGTTCAATTTCTATGGTATCCCATCCGAGTCAAGGAGTCTGAGGCAGCTTACAATTCAAAAAAATGGATTAGAGGTAAAAATATTAAAACATTTTAAAACAGTAAATGCAGTTAAATCAATAAAAACTGCCAAATTACATTATTACAAATATTTGTCTAGTTAGCAATATAGCCAGGGTGTCAACCAGTGGTGGGATTCAGCCAGTTCTCATCACTTCGGGAGAACAGGTGGTTAACTTTCTGAGCAGTTTGGTGAACTGGTTGTTGAAAGAAATCATTAGGGCAGAGAACTGGTTGTTAAATTATTTGAATCCTACCACTGGTATCAACTGGCAAAGCATTCCTGGCCTGCTCTCAAGTTGCCATAGGAAAGAGGGGATGGGTAACCTATGAAACAGCACGGCAGCAAAAGACAGATGCACATTCCAGACTTATCTCTCTCAAGGCGGTATCCCAGGTTACCCACAGCTGCCGAAGGGGGGAATGATATCTACAGCCCCCAAAAGTGCTCCGTTGGAGAATGTGATTTATGATACACCCTATGGGGAGGGGGAAACAGGGTCATAATTGAGCCGTAAATTACATGGGGTCAGAGTTGGCTTCACTTGGGTACGCGTTGAAATGTTGCTCCTAATAAATAACTGGATTTCTTTTGGGGCTTGGCTCGAGGCTCATGATTTAATTAGGGCATCCGTCGGAACCCTGACACAGGCAATGAGGTTCTTGACATATTCAGCATCCCAGGCTCAAGGAACATAACTAGTTTTTTAGGGCCCTATGAAAGGCTGACAGAGTTTCTATATAATCTCATTAAGGGGAAGACTGGAACAGTGATTTAGATACTGCCTCCATTCCCTTCTGC